TCTACATTAAGGCCAAAGGTTTAGGGTTTTAAGGTTTGGGGCCCTGAACCCCAAACCCTTCGGGAAATCCAGCCCTAAACCCTAAACCCTAAACCCTAAACCCTCAACCCCAGACCCTGAACTCTAAACCCTTCGGGAAATCCAGTCCTGCTGGGCTACGTCAAGGCATCGATGATCAGGCGCTGCAGCGCATGGTCGGCCTCTGAGTCGTGGATCTCGCCGATCTGCAGAGTGTTTCAGGGTTTAGGGTTTAGGGTTTACTGGGAGTTAGGATTGGGGGGACCCTTGGGGATATAGACCCTCTCAATAAGGTCCCTGTTTAAGAGAGCCAGAAGTAGGGTTAAGAAGGGTCCCCTTTAAGGGGTCTCCGAATACTACCTAGGATTACTGGTCAGGTGCTGGGGTTTATCGGGCTTTGCTGGTGTGGGTGATGGGGTTCAGGGACCCGCACCCGCACCAGCAAGCTGCTCCGTCTTCACAGCGTCTAGACTGGCTGTCGCAACGGCATGTTCAAAAACGAACAGACAAGAGGCAGGACGTTCAGGAGCATCATGAGCATGTTCATCATGTTCATCTTAATTCCCATCGTCATTCTCATCACCACCACCGTTACAAGCAGACACATCATCGTCACCAGCACCAACATCATCATCGCTGAATGGTTAGTAGGCTAAAGTGTTCATCGGAAAGTAAGATAAGCCGAGGACGTGTACTTGGACACTGAGCGCTGCACGCATACAACGTCCGCATCGTACCTTTGCTGTCACCCCTAAACCCTAAACCCTAAACCCTAAATCCCTAAACCCCCAAACCACCCTAAACCCTGAACCCTGAACCCTAAACCCTAAACCCTGAACCCTAAACCGTGTAGGGGATTTCCCATGGAGGCTTGAGGTCTGCGGGGATTTGAGCATCCGGTTTCAGGGACTCTGTACCGGGTTCCTGGGGTTGAAGGTGGAGGTACTAGGGGGCTTTTACATACACATTTTATCCAGGGATGTCACGGCCTGAATCTCTAAACCCTAACCCAAAACCCCAAAGACTTCTACCCGTGAGGCCCTAAGAGTAGGGTTTAGGGTTTAGGGTTTGGGGTCTACCTTGACTCCAAAGACTTCTACCTTGAGGCCCTAAGAATTGAAACCCCAAACCCCAAAGACTTCTACCTTGAGGCCCTAAGAATTGAAACCCAAAACCCCAAAGACTTGTCACGGCCTTAATCTCTAAACCCAAAACCCAAAACCCAAAACCCAAATCCCTAAACCCTAAACCCTAAACCCTAAACCCTAAACCCTAAACCCTAATCCCTGAACCCTAATCCCTAAACCCAAAAGGCATCCCAAGCCCCTCGTCCTCCGCCCGCCTCTCTCGCCAAGTCCCGGGCTACCCCGAAGGCCCTCTTCCCATACACGGTTTAAGGTTTAGGGTTTAGGGTTTAGGGTTTAGGGCAGATGAAATACCAACGGCTTAGGGTTTAAAGTTTAAGGTTTAGGGTTTAGTTTAGGGTTTAGGATTTAGGGTTTAGGGTTTAGGGTACCAACCGAGTCCCATGCAGAAGTCTCAAGACCCAAAGACCCAAACTGACGGCAAGCATTAGCCTGAATCCACACAGACCCACAACCTCAATCTGAAGCGGGAGCAAGATTTCACAGCGCAAAACCCCTAACGCTAGCAGCCTCCAAAGTCCTAAATCCCAAACCCTACACCCTAAACCCTAAACCCTAAACCCTAAAATCCCAAACCCAACACCCATGAGCCCCCCTGTGCCAGGGAACAGCGGCTTCCCCGGCTGTAAGCACGAGCTCAACGAGACCATTCTCTCGCCTGGGCTACGACTGTTGTGGGCTTCATCGGGTGTTCTACGATTTTATGGGTTTCTGTCTTATGGCTTTGGGGGGTTTGAGGGTGAGGGGGGGGGAGGGTTCCAGGATGTTTGGGCTTTATGTCGCATCTCAGACCCCTGCTGCAATGCACGTTTGAACCGTCTTATGCCGCGTTGCAACTCTCAGAGAGGGAGTCAACTTCGGTAAAGCCACGCCCATGCACCCTTGAGTCCCCTTCAATCCCAAATCTGCAAGTGCACAGCTGAGTGACCATCGTACAGTTGCAGCCGGTCCTGCAGCTGACCTGTGGGATCACTGACAATTGTGGCAAGTGTCAACCATATCAGCAATATCAGTACTATCATCATCACAAATGCTACGTCTACTCCTACCCTGCGCAACCACTACTGCCACCACTTCCACTACTAACACCTGATTACTAGTACTCCTGCTCCTCCTCCTCCTCCTGCTGTTGCTGCTGCTGCTGCTGTTGCTGATAACGTTACTGCTACTACTTCTACTTATAATGGCTTATAGCTGTCTTTATTATTCGGATTTTAGTATCCTTAGTCTTCGCAATAGTATTGGTATAAATATTGGTATTCGTATGCGTATAAGCATTAGTAGCAGTAGCAGTAGCTGTAGCAGTAGCAGTAGCAGTAGCAGTAGTAGTAGAAGTAGCAGTAGTAGTAGTAGTAGTAGTAGTAGTAGTAGTGGTAGTAGTAGTAGTAGTAGTAGCTGCTAGTAGTCGAAGTGGCAGTGGCAGTACCCTGACGGCACCGATACTTGACATTTTATCCCCCTACATAGGAAGGAAACCGAAGCGCAAGCCGCACAGAGCCAAAGAGCCCAGGGCGGAGCAGCCAAAGTACTCCGACAAATGTGTGGCCTTGGCTGATTTCAGACACCACAACTATAAGGCCCTCTGTTATGGTCTCTGTTTGAGGGATACCCCAATAATGAATGTAGCCATCATTCACTATGCAGGGACCGCAAAGGAACCCCACTATTGCGCATCACTTATGTAGAGCATGCATGTACGGTGTATCTCAGACACATAAGGTACAGGCATGTTTGTCAACATACAGATGCTTGCATCAGCAGGCAGTGTAATTATATGTGTACCTGTGAATAGACAGATAGAAATCTATCTATACATGTATGTTTGTATGTATGTATGTATGTATGTATGTATGTATGTATGCGTTTATGTATGTATGTATGTATGCATTTATGTACGTATGTACCTATGTATGTGTGTGTATGTATGTACGCATGCATGCACGGATGTATGTGTGTATGTGTGTATGTATGTATGTATGTATGTATGTATGTATGTATGTAGGTATGTATGTATGTATGTATGTATGTACCTATGTGTGTGTGTATATGTCTAGGTGTGTATTGTATCGTATTGATTGGGTTGTAATATATGATATGGTGTGGTGAGGTATGGTGTGTGTGTGTGTCTATGTGTGTGTATGTCTGTATGTATGTATGTATGTATGTATGTATGTATGTATGCATCTGTGTATGTGTTTATGTGTGCACGTGTATGCATTTGTGTACGTACATATGTACATATTCATTTACATATACATGTATCTATACACATATATATATATATATATATACACATAATGAGATAGATATATATATATATATACACATATGAGATGCGTGTGCATACATATATATATATATATGCACACATAGATGCATAATAGATCATATCATTGCACATGTGTATATGGATGGATGATGTCTGTACTTAAGCTGAAGTATGGTATAGAATACGTTTATGTATTCACAGAGGTTTCTATACAGGTACATATGCATCAGGTACCCTGCGATCACCCACATGAAGTTCCCAAGCCTTGTCGATTATGACTGGATGCGATTCAGAGGGGCACCCGAAACCCTCAACCATACACCCTGAAGCCTAAACCGTTTGGTCTCCGTTTTGATCCAGCAACAGGTCAACTACGGCGATCTGTGGAAGAAGGTGCAGGATCGCCTGGACTCAGGGACACAGAGATTATGGTTTAGGGTCTGGTCTTTTGCTGGAGGCTAGCGCCAGGAAGGATGTTGCAGACAAGAGCCTTCGCACAGCTTTTCGCAAGAGCAGCATTCTGTGGCCATTCACGTGTTGTCATGAACCGCCCTGCTGGATCAGTCCGGACCTGGCCGTGCCAGATGTCCTAGATTTCATCGTGATACTTGCCTCGCCTGGACGAACTGTGTTTGGTTTTTGTTTTGGGTGGTGGAGAACCTCCCTTTTTCGTGAGATAGTCGCTCTTTCTTAGTGTTTTCGCCATGTTAAGAAAGCCTGCAAACAGGAGACGACGACGAATGAGGCAGGAGAGACGGAAGCCAATGCCAATGAGCTTCTCAGCGATTTCGGTACGGCACCAGACTTCGTTTACAGCCTTACAGCGGTCTAACAGTGGGGCCTAAAATAATTTCCAATCCTATGTTGGGGGCTGCTTATTTCAAATTTAGTTTACATGACCCCCAAAACCCTATTCGAATTGTGAAGGCCCTCTATTACATGTTCAAGTTCGTTCCAGGTTTAGGAGGGCGTGAGGGCTTTGGTTCTGTATTGGCCCTAAACCCTCAATCCTACTGTTGATGGACAAAATTCTGCATGACCCAAATATAGTATAGTACCATAAATCCCATAGTTTAGTTATATAAGGTCATGCAGGATTTTGTCCATCAACCGTATCAAGCCCATCAGGCCATGGTGGCTTGACTAAAGTTCCTTATAGCACCTCTATGCTGCAGGAACCCTTTTTGGGCATCGTTCTGAGTAACCCCGTGTGGAAGCCCTCATTATGAAAGCCTTCGTTTGTAGCATCTAGACCTTGCTTCATATAGAAGCCTGAAATCTTATCAATATATGGCTAGTCCTTAAATTTTCGGATTCTACTTATGCTATGGTACTACAGTACACCACAGAATACACTCTATAGCACTATGGTAAACCTAAACCCTAAACCCTAAACCCCACAAAGTTGGAAACCGGATTCGAGGCCCAGGGGACTTAGTAAGTGGTTTATAAGTAGAGTTATAAGTACCCTAAATGGAGTTACCCCCAATTATAACCCTACTTATAACCGACTTACTAAGTCTCCTGGGCCTGCAAGGAACGTAGATTTTTGGGGGTGGGCTTCCTGCCTAAAGCTCTCCGCGCCAGAGCTCTGGCTGCGCCACGCGGTGAGGGTTGCCCGGAGCACCTGAATGTAGGGGCCTAATGGTTTAGGGTTAAGGGTTTAGGGTTTATTAGAATAGGGTTTTGGGGGCCTTAACCTTTTGCATCAAAATAGCCCAAAAGCCTTATATAATAGGGTCTTTGGGCCCAAAAGCCTTAGGATATGAGTCCTTTGAGGGTAAGGGTAATCATTAGAATAGGGCTTTGGGCTCCCTTATAGTATTACTATAATAAGGAACCCTATAACAGCAATATTTGAAATTATTTAGCTTCTATATTAAGGGCTTGAGGTTGATCGTTGTGTTTTTTGAAGGCCCGTTTCTGTGCTCTTGGATAGGGTTTAGGGTTGGGGGTTTAAAGGTTCAGGCTTCAAGGCGTAGGGTTTAGGGCTCAAGGTTTAGGGATTGGGGTTGAGGGAACTCAGAAAGTCGAATCTGCTGTTGAGTAGGGGTCTTAACTGAAGCACATGGATGCTCGGAGGGCTCCATGCGCGCCTTGATGTCAGGTGTTTAATGGTCGGAATTGCTTTTGTGGAGGGGGTGTATGATGGTATATTTCTTTACACCGGAACTGTAAGGAAATATTACTACTATGTATTCCGATTCCGACGCCTATCTTATGTGCAAGGTCCCTCCTGCACGGCGCGGGGTAGGGTTTTCCATAGAGGATACAAAGCGATCCCAAAAGCCTAAACCCCAAGCCCTAAATCCAAAGCCCTGAACCCTAAACCCTAAACCCTAAACCCTAAACCCTAAACCCTAAACCCTAAACCCTAACCCAAAACCCAAGTGCCCTGAAGGGAGCCGAAGGTTTCATCGAACCGACGTCTATCCACGATGCTAGAAACACTATCTAAGCTGGGGCAACCTGGGATGTACGGTTCAGAGTTTATGCGCCAAACCCTAAACCGACATTCCTAAGCCCTAAACCCCAAGCCCCAAAACCCCAAGCCCGAAGCCCGAAACCTCAAGCCCTAAGCCCTCAACCTACGAGTTTGGGGTGTGGGAAGTGTGTTTTTTTTTTGAGCGCTATTTTCCTACTGCCCACTTCAGGGGTCGGGATGCCACGTTTGGCTGAGGGGTCGGGTGGTTCTGGGAGACCAGGCATAGGGGATTCACCACCTGAAACCACCTTACCCTAACCCCCCAGGTACCTACTATACAGGGCTCTAGGGGCTCTAGTACCCTATAGTAGGTACCTGGGGGGTTAGGGTTAACCCCAAACTGCAAGCAGTTTCCCAGAACAACAACAAGATCCTTGCCCAGTGCCTGACCAGCGACACAGAGTCACAATCCATGGCAAGAACAATAGCCACTGAGCCCCGAAGGGCACTGCCAGAGGCTGCTCCGCGCCATCGAGCAGCAGCTCTCTCTCTCGCTCTCTCTCTCTCTCTATAATCTCCATTGTAGTTTCTTTTCTGGCTTAACCAGTTATATATTAAGGATTTTATAAGGTATCCCCCAAAAGGAACTACAATGTAGACGATAGGTCTATCACGTTTTTTGACGAGCTGCCGCGCTCTGAAGGCTTGGCGCTGGACCAGGCTTGGGGTGTGCGGGCGTGTGCAATCCGCCCCGCGCCGTGGAGCCGCCACAATCCCTGGAGTTGAACAGCCGCCTGGATCCTTTTTTGGAGGGTTTAGGGTTTAGGGTTTAGGGTTTAGGGTTTAGGGGACTCGAACCTACTTGAAGGCCCAGGGGACTTAGTAAGTCGCTTATAAGTAGGGTTATAATTGGGGTAATTCCTTTTAGGTACTTAGAACTGGGCCTCCAAGTGGATCCTTTTTTGGGAGGCGGAACCAAACAAATCAGAAAAAACACCTTGAGCCAAGGAAGTTTAGAGTTTAGGGCTTCCGAAACTGGAGGTTCCTTGCCGTGGAATCCTCGGAAGTCCAGTATTATACCATATGTAGAAGAAAACAGCAACTTCTTTCGGCTCGTCTAGGCTGTCTATCTACAATCTACCATCTTCTATCCACCCATCCTTCTATCTAGCTATCTGTCCACCTATCTACCTATCTACTTGTATCTGTCTGTCTACCCATCGATCTACCTATCCATCTTTCCATCTATCCCGCTGTCCACCTAAGCATCGATGCACGAATCTTTCTATCTACAGTGACTAAACTCCGAAGCCCTCGGGAGCTGTTTAAATGGGGGTGTCCGGAACTAGGGGACCCTAATGTAGTACCCTAAATTTAAATAGTAGGATCCTGATTATAAGGACCCCAAAATACGGTACCCCTTATTTTCGGAAACCCCTAAACCCTAAACCCTAAACCCGAAACCCTGAACCCTAAATCCTAAACCCTAACCCCTAAACCCCGAAACCCCCTAAGCCCCCCCCCAAATCCTTATTATAAGGACCCCAAAATACGGCAAACCCTAAACCCTAAACCCTAAACCGTGGTACCCCTTATTTTCGGAAACCCTCGTGCGAAACAGGCACCGAAGTCGCGGTCTGCCGGAGGATCCGCTGCCTCGGAGTCTCAGAGTTCAGGAAGAGTGGTCAAATGGTTAGGGTTTAGGGTTTAGGGTTTAGGGTTTAGGGTTTAGGGTTTAGGGTTTAGGTTTTTAGATACAGAAGTATGAATGTATACGCTAACCTATGAGAGTGTGATATATATATATATATATATGATATTACACCTACACATACAAGTGCAAATATCTATATTCAGTCTATATCTATGCTATCTCTCCATATATTTGGGTTTAGTGTGAGTTTCTAGGGTTCTGGACTCAGGAGTGAAGTGCTCCAGGCATCTGGCTCAGCGGAACACTGGCCATGTATGGGTGCACCGGCTTATACAGATCGATATTAATAGTGTATTAAATAAATGTGGGTCAACAGGGGGCTACCATATATGCATATCTAAAGAACACTTCCGGAGCATTCACACGCGAGGTGGACGGTTGCTGCGCAATGGGTCTGAAACGCCCCTCTCTTTTCAAGCAGTCGCATAAACCTAATGCCCATACACTGTCCAAACAGGTCCATTATGTCTTGGCCAGTTTGATGGCTATGAGCCGTTACGAACAAAATGCCAGGTTGCCGCTATAAGACCTACTGTACTCACTAAACCCTTAAACCCCAAACCCCAAAACTTGAAACCCCGAACCCGCACACCCCTTGCCAAACCCTAAACCCTAAACCCCTAAACCCTAAACCTGCCCACGCCCTAAAACCCCTAACAAAGCAGGGCTCTTGCCCTTATGGCGTCCTCAATCCGAGACCTGCAATGTAGCACCCGACTGACGCTTCCCAAACCCTAACCCTCCAGGTACCTACTATATAGGGTTTAGGGTTTAGGGTTTAGGGTTTAGGATAGGGCCCTAGGGGCTCTAGTACCCTATATAGCAGGTACCTGGGGGGGTTAGGGAAAGAACCGATTTTCCGATTCCCAAAGGGCCGTGCACGCACAGAGTCGGGTGGAGGGAAGGTTGCTTTCCCTAAGGGTACATGGACCATGTACCCAAAAAGTATATACTTTGGCCCCAAGTACCTATATAGGGACTACTTTAAGGCTGATGTATATACTTTTGGGGTACATGGACCCTTAGGGTTTAGAACTCTGTAGCGGCTCTGTAAGTCTACCCTACGGGTTCCGTCAAGGGCATTCTAGGGCGTACTCTAGGGTTTTAAAAGGGCTTGCAGTTACATCCAAAGACTGTACTATGAAATTGACATCTGAACTCTGAACTCCTACACCCTAGACCCTAACGCCTGGCCTAAACCCTAAACCCTAAACCCTAAACCCTAAACCCTAAAGACCCTAACCCCTGGCATCAAAATAGTCCAAAAGCCTTATATAATAGGGTCTTTGGGCCCCAAAGCCTTAAGATATGAGTCCTTTGAAGGTAATGGTAATAGGGTTTAGGGTTTAGGGTTTAGGGTTTAGGGTTTAGGGTTTAGGGTTTAGGGTGTTTAGGATCAACTCGAGGCTTACGGTTCTATTCTTATCAGGATTTGGGACTTGAGGTGCCTAGGGCTTCGAGTTCACTGTTGAGGTTTCAACCTTCGGGATACGTAAGACTACAAGGTATCCTCATAGTCTACCCATAGGCGCTAAAGTAGTTCCTTTTTGGGGTTCATATATAGGATCCTATAAGGTAACCCCAAAAAGGAACTACTATGGGGCCTACGGGTACACTTAGGCCAGCTGGTTGGTGCCGCATTTCCCTTTTGCTTTTGGTACCTTTCAAGGAGATCGCTGGGATTCAACATGTCCTGAGAAGTGTTTACATAAACCTAACACCCCCAAGGAATCGCGCTATAACCTGATGAAGCACTCCAAAGCCTGCACAAGTCGATCTAAACCCTCCCCGAACCCCAAATAATCTACATACCTTTGTTACGGATTTAAAAATATAGGGAACTCATAATCAGGAACCCCAGGCAGCCAGTTTTATCGGGTTCAGGTAAGTCCTAAACCCTGTAAACCTGTAATAACCCTAAACCTTTATAAACCTTAAATAACCCTAAACCCTAAGCTTTAAATAACCCTAAACCTTATACACCTTAAATAACCCTAAACCCTAAACCCTAAATAACCCTAAACCCTAAACTTTAAATAACCCTAAACCCTAAACCCTAAAACCTCCTCTCTGAGCCAGGGGACTCCAGGCAGTGGAGGTGCTTCCACCAAGCTTCCTGGCTCTGCTTGGGTTTAAGAGTTTCGGGTTCATTTAGGGTCGTAGGCTCTAGGGCTTTAGGGTTTTTTCGGTCTAGACTTCATGGTTTTGGGCTTTAGGTTTCGGGGGTTTTAGGGTTTTGGGTTTTTGTGTGTAGGTTTTCGGGTTGAGGGCAAGGGTTTCAGGGCTTCGGGTTCAGGGGTGAGGATTACTTTCTGTCGTCTGACTTCCAAGGCGACCAGGCCCAGAATCTTTGACTAAATGGCTAGTTCTCTAAATTAGGGCCCCTTTCTAGGTCCCCAATATAGTACGGCACCCTTACAAAAAGGACCCTGAAAGGGATCCTAATGTAGAGACCTACCCAAATCTAGAGCCGTGAAGCTGAGGAGCCCATTTAAGGTACTTGTAACCTCACCCTGAGGTTCCAAGTACCTTGTATTACAGGATTTGGGGTACCAGAAGCCAGAAATGAGGTTTACTTGGACCCTAAACCCTAAGCCCTAAGCTATAAACCCTAAACCCTAAACCCTAAACCCTAAACCCTAAGCCCTAAGCCCTAAGCTATAAACCCTAAACTACAAACCCTAAACCCTAGGGTTCCTTACCAAGTCCCGTGATCCTCCAAGTAGCGCCCTCCGCAAAGCGAGCCCGATGACTCCCTAGAGCGCGAATACATGGGCTTAGGGTTTAGGGTTTAGGGTTTAGGGTTTAGGGATAGTCGCTAAAGTAGGGGCGTATCTTAGGTTTAGTTTAGGGTTTGGGGCTTGGGCTTACGGGGCCATTATCGTCAGAAAAGAGTTCTGGGGTACGGTTGAGTGCATTCCAAATATGGAGCCCTCAGGAATAATCTTGGTCAAGGGATCAGGATTTAGGGTTCAGGGTTTATAGGGTTCATTTTTTAGGTTCTTGATTCGGGCTTTTGCCACGTGTAGCCTAAAGCCGAGACTCTGCCTATTCAGGCCTAAGCCCGAAACGTACAATCAAGCCTTATAAAGCCTATTTAGGGTTTAGGGTTTAGGGTTTAGGGTTTAGGGTTTAAAGGCAACTACAGGTGGGGAGTTTAGGGTATATAGCGCTTCTATAAGACATCTATATAGACCTTCTATAAGGCTCCCATAACGGGAACTACCCACCCGAACATGTCCTAGACTAGAGGCTTAGGGCTTACACCTCATGCCCTAACCCCTCCTTAGGGTACCTGGTTTTATGGTTGGGATCTGTTCTAAAGAAAAGTATATACCCTACTAATTCCCTAAACCCTAACACCCTAAAGCCCTAATTCCCGAAACCCTAAAACCCTAGAACCC